ATCATGAATATAGCAGGTACTAAAATTCGTATTGCTTCATTTGCCGCTATTTCTATACATGAATCTATAATTTCGTGATCGAAATTCATGTCGTTAATATTTTTCTCAAATTGAAAAATGAGCGCATCATAGAAGTTGACAGTTCGCAACTTGAGTATTATAAATAACAGCAATATTTTTATATTTTAATATTCAAGGAATACTATAGAAGTTCAACAACAATTTTCTCAGTTGTTCCTTGGATCTTTTGAAATCAAGGTGTTTATCAATATAAGAGTGGCAAATTGTATTGTACGAGATTATACATCTTATTAGAGGTGAATTGCTATAATAATTAGTTGAGAAAGAAGATATTCTATTCCTAACCATTCAAGGACTACGATTCAAGCTCAGGAAATCAGTGCATCAATATGATTGTTAAAGATCTTATAAATGAATAATAATTATGTCAACGAAGTATTTCCTAATGAAAATAGTATCTATTCTATAGAATCTTGAGTTGTTCTCATAGCTCATGTAGTGAAGGAAGCGGAAGAATTTATAGTTCAAATTGACCACTTTTTTGAACATGTTCAATGTGATCCACATTTGTCACACATGGAATACCAAATGGTAGGGCAGTATTCAAGGATATATATAGGCCTGATATAAAGTGGTAGCTGATGAATACTTCGAAAGTATGTAATATCTCTCAGAATAAATCTCAGAGTGCCGACTGCTTTTTTAACAATAGGTTCAATATGTGATTCGAAAGTTAATTTTTCATCTAGTATCACTTCTTGATTTCAAACTCCTCAAGTATTCAGTGATAGGGTCTTAAAATCTTGAGAATCGAACATTACAACATTTACTCGCATTGAAAAATAATCTATTTGTACTGCAGAAGATTTGCAGTCTTTCAATATCTTCCTGGGACCCACGAAATCGAATCTCTTTTCAATTTTATTATGAATCTTCAGGTCATCGGCATATTATATACCAAAATGTTTAATGAGAATGCGCTTTTCATTAATGTTTGCTCCTGTATGTCGACCGTTCTTCTTCTCACTTTTGAAACGTGTAACACAGAGCAAAATAGCAGATACCTAGCTAACTCTGTTATTAATTAACTAGTAATTTATTCATTCAATAATCCAATATATAGAGTTAGGAAATAAAATGTATGAATTGAACACTAAAATAGTTATTTATGCAACAAGTGCAAAAAGTGAATGTTTATTCAATTCCAAGTCAATGTTCCAACTCGGCCTATAACGGCCTCGTCGGACAATTTCACGTCGAGTGCAATAAACAATGTTTGCACGAGTTGCATACAACATTTTTTTTACGTTCATGCAAAAAACAAATAATGATTTATTGAGGTGCAGCACTATGTGTAGGAAAATGAAAAACGCAACTTGAACAACGAACAATTTAACTCAAACTTCATTTTTACCCTCAATGTTGAAAGTGAATGAACAATTGGTGCAATTTTCAATATGAATATATGACGTTTCTATAACCACAGTTGCACTATAAAAAATGTTTGTCATGATGACAGCACGTTGAAGTATAGAATGACAGATGAGTGCAATAAAAACTTTATTGCACTAAGTGCAATGAAGAACTTCTTTTTCCACTGAATATAGTTCAATAAAGTTCTGCTTTTTGCATGAATGTAGAAAAATGCATTTGTCTACATTCATGCAAAAAGCAGAACTTTATTGAAATATATTTAGTGGAAAAAGAAGTTCTTATTATAGTTTGAATGGTTTCAGTTGCCATTATAGGGTTGTACAAATTCCAGTGTATTACATAATATAGGATCTCGGAAAATAAGTCGCACATTTTAATCCTGAAATTTTGTCAATTCGAAAATATTTCGAAAACTGTTGAGTGTAGGCATAGATAACCTTATTCAAAGTTAGCTTCATTCAGTAGCAAGTAGGTGATAATTCATATGCATTTATGGTAGTTTGGTACTGAATATGAGTTGAATCCCTTTGAAACCGATGACAACCTCGACAAGACTACGAGACAGACATCATCCTCTGATTCAGGTGGTCAACAAGATAATGAAATCAACAGCGGTGATGATCAATCGTCTGTGCAGAATGTGTCAAGTAAGTACTTTGCAAAAACTGTGTCACGCCATATCATTCATAAAACTGTAAAATTATATTGAATAAAGATTTGACAAGACTTGGACTTTCATTCCATAGGTTACCAGTGGGACATATATGATCCATTCAACAATACCAATGGGGCATATTTGTCCCATCTGTCAATGTCAAATATCAAATTTCAAATGATGCAAACCTGTAGGAGTAACCTAACTATATACAAAATAAGTAAGAAATCACAATTCCAACTCAGTTTATTCATAAGGAAAGAGTGGGGCTGAAAGGGTTAAAGTCGAAAGGACACCGCATGTTTTATAGGAAAAATTGGCCTCCTGTCGAATTGGCTGAATTTTTGTTATGTTATTCTGAACAAAATGTCCGAATATCAAACTGTTCTAATGGCTAGATTTGGCGCTAGAAGCCGCTGAAGTCAATTCAATTTGAGCTATTATTATATTATGTTTTGATAGGATAAGACACTACAAGAAGTTTTCTTCAATATTGTTGCTGTTGGTCAGGAATTATACAGTGTGTTCCAGCAATTATGGTGGAGATAAAATATGATACTAACCAATAATTCAATAAAAAAGGATATCGTCACGTGTCCCATTTCAATTATGAAACAGTTTTTTCAATGAAAACATTCATTATTAACAACAGTAGCAGATATTATCAGTAATATCAATAGTAGAACATTCCTTGTAATTTCGTCAATCGTCTGATTATACCCAGTATATTTTTTCAAATACATGTAAATATATTTCAGATATCACGCCCTATCAAATCGTACAATTCTTTCAAAAATCATCAATTGATCATCCTAAGTTGATGAGGCACGATCGCAGATATTGAATAGTTTGTGAACTTTATTACTTGTGCTGATTTATTGATGCTATATACAGGGTGAGTCATTGAAATGGGAAAGTGAGATAACGACTTCGCTGTTTGACATAGATGAATAAAAATTTTTGTGATGGTCTAGGCTCATGAGAAGCATATATCTAAATTACTTTGCGTACACAGGGTGCCTCAAATATGCGTGGCGTATGAAAGTTATACTTTTTAATATAGGACACAGCAAATACAGAGTAGTTCAAAATTCAGAATTATGAACCACCCTGTATTCGTTCAAATTAAATATCAGTAGATAGTAAATCAAAAGTTAAGATAGGGACATGTATGCCGTTTTGACCAATAATGAATAGTATCGACCCAAAAAAATCCTAAAGTTGAAATATCTCGATTTTGCACAACCTATATCTCTGTAATCATTCTTGCTAGACCCAAGTGTGATGCATTGATGAAATCAGCTCACAAAGGAGAATCCGAAAATGTAATAAAATACAGGGTGTTCCATAAGAAACAGTATAACTCTGATACGTCACGCATTTTTAAGTCACCCTGTATGAAGCGAAATATTTTGGAAATGTGCTGCTCATGAACCTAGATCATCACAAAAACATTTGTTCATCTATCTCAAACAGCAAAGGCGTTATCTCACTTTCCCATTTCAATGACTCACCCGGTATACGAACTGTTCAAAGAGGGAAAACGCAAAATGACATTCCTTCTCAAACCTTGACAAATAGGAGATTAATACTAGAAAAAACATCATCACATTAAAATTGAATATTGAAATATTTTTCTGACTTGAATATCATTCAGCTGCTATTATATGGAACGGGTTGATATTTTCGTGTATCTTCTCCTTATATAAAGGGTGAACAATAGTGAACATGGAATTCGAATTAGCGTATTTTGTAATTGAAATAGGACATTTCTCGATTTCTCATTTCTCTATATCCTTTCCTATAAAATTAATGAATATCATTATTGTCTAGATCTAGAACAATTATAGCTGGGTCACACTGTATAGTTGTTGAACAGTAGCAACACAATATTGATGAATACTTCTAGTAGTGACTTATCCTATAAAAAAATAATATAATAATGGCTCAAAGAGCTTCATTTATCAGGAGAAAAGAAATCATGATTGAGACTTCAGCGGCCTTTAGCGCCAAAACTAGCCATTAAAACGGTTTGGTATTTGGACATTTTGTTCAGAATGTCTTGGACTATAACATATGTCACTGGAAAATAGACGAAATCTTACTGTTTTGATTTTTTCGCATAATTTGCTGAATAACAAAATCAATTTACCTGAAATACTCTCACTAATAAGATTCAATATCCCCCCAAGAAGAACACGATCATTTGCAATGTTTAATATTCCTCTTATGCTTTACTACAAGACCCCCGCTTGTGGCCATGTTGAGGCTAGCAAATGAATTGAACGCCTCACTAGATTTAGAATGGACAACCTCACAGAATGCATTTCGATCAGCAATTACACATCACCTCATAAATATCTCTGTTTGAACTAGACTGACTTCTATGCGTACTATGAAAAACTATACAAAATGTTTAACCCTCTTCCTTAGACATAATTGTTATTATTATTAAATTTATAGGTTATATTCAACATACATACAACTACATCTAGAACCTTCCTTATATCTTAATATTATTGTATTAGTATATTGATTAACATTTTTATCTCTGTAAAGAGACCTATGTGGTCTGTAGGGATGAAATATAATAAATAAATAAATAAATGAATATCAGAAATTCAGCCAAGTCGACAGGAGGCCAATTTTCCCTATGAAACGTGCGGTGTCCTTTCGAGATTAAAGTCGAAATTTCGATTTTGAAGTCACAATTTCGAGTCTAAAGTCGAAATTACGTAAAAAAATTGTGTGCGGCACTTCAGCGCCAGTGCGACTCAGAATATGGTGCGGATGGCTCGCTCTGTACTGTACTGTACGGGGGTTTGGCAATACGCACCCCGTCCACAAAGAATTCTAGCTCGTTGGCGGGGACCCAAACGGCTATAAAGCTGCCTAGCTCGCCCGCCACCGAACCAGTGATTCGCACCCAAGTGGCCAGACATGAAGACCTTCGCGAGTTTGTTGGTGCTCAGCGCACTCACCACTGCTGGTATGTACCTCCAAAAGAGCGGTTCCATCACCATCCATCAGTGCCAAAAAGAGTGATCATTGAGCGCCTAGCCCTGACAGTGCAAGTGTCCAAGTGTACAGTGTGTCCAGTTTTCGATGCTTTGGCGTGATATCTCAGTTATCTCTCGAGGTAGTACCTTGCGGCTTTCCCGGTCCTGTGCCACTTTTTTAGATGACCTAATCAGATTTTGCATAACTGTTTCCGTTTAAAGGGTGATTTTGAAAATTTGTACTTTTTGGACCTCCTCCATATCTACGAAGTTTCTCAGCGAAAATGTCAAATTAAAATCTCATCCCATCTCAAAATTGTTCGCCGGGGTGTGGTTTTGGAGATACGACTCATCTTTTTTTTAATAGAACACCCTGTATTTTATAAGCTCATAGAATTCTTCACTTTTTTCTCTTCGAGATGATTTATAATGTATGTATAAAACATTGAATTTTAATAGTGAGCTATGGATTTTACTTATACAAAAGGGCAAAAACAATACCAACCCTAATTAACTGAGGAAACACAAATATGATGTACCTGATAGCAACAAATAAATAGTAATAAAAAGTTCATAATCAGTAGAATAAGCACCAGATTGAATATTTACAAATACAATTGAATTTCGGAATCATTCAATAACTTATTCATTGAATTGTTCAAATCACAAGAATCTCGATGAACTTCGTGCAACAACAGAGGCAGTTCTCCAGGAATTACAAAGACATCCTTCAATGATTTTGGACGTATTGGGAAAATGTGTGAGGAAAAATGGACATCAATTTGAACAATTCAATTAAAACTTTACTATTTAATTTCGAAAATCAATTGTCTTAGTGAATATTAAATCAGGTGCTTATTCTAAAATATGAACTTTTCATTACTATTTAGCTATCAGGTACCTAATTTTTGTGTTTCCTTAGTTATCTAGTATTGGGAATTATTTCTTCCATCCGAACTTTTTTCAAATGATAAATCCATAGCCCATTATTACAATTCAATGTTTTAGTGATTTTGGAGCATTTTTGAAAATGTTATACTTATATATTATATTCATTTTGATGTGAAAACAATATGGAATTTAATGAGCTTATAAAATACAGGGTGTTCCATTTGAAAAATCATAAGTTTGAATCGTATCTCCAAAACCATACCCAGAAAAAAAAATTTGAGTGCGCCACTGGATTCTGCGCAAAATTCTCTTTGGGATAAGATTCCAATTTGACATTTCCTCTGAGAAACTCCGTAGATATAGAGGGGGTCCAAACAGTATAAATTTTCAAAATCGCCCTGTATCTCATAAACGTAAACAGTCCTGCAAAATCTGATTTGGCCATCTTGAGTTTCACAAAAAAATGGCACGGGACCGCGGAAACCGCAATGTTCTATCTCGAAAGATAACTGAGATATCATGCAGAAGCATCGAAAACTGGACACACTGTACATAATCGATATGAAAGTCAAGTTCGATGCGTTTGGAAATCATGATAATGACCTTTACTGTTCAGGAAATACCGCAATTCAGTTTCAATCACTATCAAGAAAAAATCGTTCATGTCGACCTTCGTCAATCGAAGGAATTTATTGAGTAAGCAATGATTACTTATTCAAACTATTTCATTTATATTCACCGTTAAGAATAGATCGGATTGAAATAGTCTAGTGTGGTCTAGAAGACATGAACATATTTTAAGGATATATGCATAACGTATTCTATTTTGCGTAAAAAATCACCTACTACTGCATGAGAATGTTTAACTAACTATGTGCATTCGCCATTTTGTGGAATATCGCGAATCCGCCAATTCCTTAATATTGCCTACTTCTCTCGACAAATACGATACGATAGACGCTAACCTGAGATACTCACAAGTAATGAAATCAAGATGCTTGCTGACTTTGGTAAATATATATCAAGGACTGGAACCTTTGGCACGATAATACACTACACTGTTTTAAATAACCAAACCGATTCTTTATACGCCTCGACACGTATTTTGCTATGTTAGCATCTTCTTCTTCTTGGGGTATCAATAGACAATAAACTGGAATTCGAAGACCATATCGCAACGCTCAATGAAAAACTTTCTTCCGGTTGTTATGATGCTGTTAGGATAACCTCTAGTGAACTAGGATCTTCTGCAGCAAAAACTGTATATTTTTCATTGATAGAATTACACTTGAGATATGGAATACTTTTCTGGGGAGTTTGTGCTGATACTCACTTGAAGCCAGTTTTTATTTTCAAAAGAGAGCGATAAGATACTTAAATAAGGTCAAACCACGAGTCTCTTGCAAACCTTTATTCATCAAAGATAAAATCCTGACGCTTTATGCCATTTTCATATTAGAAACGGTTTGCCTTATCAATAAACATAAAAAGATATTTTCGAGTTCAAATTCTCATTATATTACCCGCCAAACAAATCACCTCAAACTGCCTATACCCACCTCAACCCTCGTTAAGGACTCAGTCATATACAATGGTCTAAAAATGTATAGTCACCTACCAAATTATCTGAAAACCACGGATAATGCTCATTTCAGAAAGGCCGTGAAAGAATTCCTCAGTGAAAGACCGTATTATAGTCTACAAGAATTTTTTGGAGAATGTTTTTAATCTGTGATATTGATGATGTATCTTTTTTTTTATTTTCTTCACTGTGATAATAATTATAATTTTTATTGTGTGTATGGATGTGTGACACTGTGTTTAAAAAAATACATAGATAATATATATTTGTAGTTTTAGGAAATTGTAACTTTGTCAATAAGATATACTCTTTGGACAATAAAGCATATCAATCAATCAATCAATCAATCAAATCAATCAATCTTCAGGAGAAGATTAAAACTGAATATTCTATTCTATTGTGCTACTTATATACTAGGTATTAGTACAATAGAATACAATATTCAGTTTTGATCTTCTCCTGAAGATGCTAACATATTTAAGCGAAACACGTGTCGAGGCGTATAAGAAATTGGTCTCGTTAGTGGTAAAACAGTGTACTGCGTTGGTAAATATACATATTAGACATTGATGAATGTTTTCGTGGTTTTGTCTTGTTCTCACTAAATATTCCAATAGTTCATCAATTCTTCTGCTGTTCAAAGGTTCTAAATATTCAAGTACTTTCTCAAGAAGGTATCTTCCAATAATGATCATTTAAATGTAAGAAAATCAATGAATACTGAATTTATTTATTATTGTATAGTTTTCATTTGGCGAAATTAACAATGAAATATCAACAACTGATGAATATAAGCCAATGATTCGTGTGATTTGATAACCATCTGAAACCATTATCTAGCTAATAGACGCCAATTCGCCACATATTAATCTTTCATAATAATTTGAGAATCGTGACTACAGTTGTATAATGAATAACGTAATATGGTAGCATATACGCCATATATATATATATAGCATATATAGACCTGTTTTTTGTGAGATACGATGAATAAGGCGATTTTAATCAATACGTTGAACAACCGGAGATACATCAGACACTGACCCGATTATTCGATTTACTTTCTTGAAACAGTAATTAGGATTGTTCTGTATGAGCTATTCAACTTTTGATTTGGAAATTAACTAAGTATTAAAATGATTGTGAGCACTCTCGAACGGGATAACAGATCTGACAACATAATAATATAACGATAACACGATCATTATAGCTACTTATGTATTGTCTTTATCTCCTACTGTAGAAGTTGACTCTTACTTCTATACCAGGGTTAATTTGAGAGTGATATTATTCATTTAACAGAATATATAAATGTCAAATAATGTCTGTGAGTTAATCGAGGAGGTGTTACATTCATTTTACTTGATAATTTGGGATTATATATCCTCGTTTCTACAAAATAAAAATATACGCTTTATTTCAATATAATATATGTGTAGTTGGACAAATCAGTTTTGCCCCAAAATAAGTTGTTCGGCCAATTGTTTAGGTAAGAAACAGAGGTACAGGAATTTCGAGGTTTTGTACAATGAAGATCTAATTTTATTAAACTAAGATTTATTAGAAAAAATATGATAAAAAAATAACTTCGAATCGAAAATCTATCGGTTGCAAATGTAAAGAGGTTTTCGATTTATTCTTCTGATGATGTAAATGCAACTGTACGGTATTTTATGCTGGACTAATAATGGATTTTTTGCGTTTTTTGAGAAAATGTGAACAACATGTTTTATAGTTGGGGTCTTCTTTAAACCTTTAAATACCTGAACCTTCCGTTTTCTCAAATATTTCATGTGAGCAATTTTTTGCCAAACAACTTATTTTGATGAGATATAATATATCCTGTTGAAGAAAACCCCACTTTCAGATTTACCCTGCTTGTGTCGCAAATGAAGAAGAGTTTACTACTCGCAATAATTGCTATTATTAGTACTATTGACTCGGAATATTACACCCTCTCTATATTGATTCTTGATATACAGGGTGTAACTGAATAAGTGTAAAACATTTAAGGAGATGATTCCTCATCGAAAAAAAGATAGGATCTTTCATATAAAGAAACTTCATTGGAGCATCCCTTGTTGAGATACAGCCCCTTAAAGGGGGTACATAAAATTTGCCGACGTCTAGACGCATGCGTAATGTTTGAAGGTAGACATATTGAACATTCACTATGATTTCTACATGTTGTGTGTTTTGTTATTAATAACTTAGTTTTGTTTATTACCCTTTAATCGTTTAATGCAGGTACTAACTACAAAATAACAATAAATCCAGTTCGCATTTATGACGATGTATCTCTGTAGTTGTTTGTAAAATAATGTTTTGCTGCTTACTGGTTTATTTTGGGCAAAAAACCCAAGAGACATTTTTTGTTTAGAATGAAACAGGCTATCGGAAATAAATTTTTAAATGGTAAACAAATAATAAGACAAAAAGTTACATTGGAAATTAATTTTAGGGGTTGCGTTTTTCACCCCTTACAACCATGGGGTAAACCAAATAAATTACTGGCTA